GTTCCTCTAAGGGGTCCTGGAGTAGCCATAGCGCCGTGGGGGCTGTTCACTGGGGTGAGCACAGGGGCCTGGTGTCAGGGCTGCCAGCTCCTCCAACTGGCACCTGAACTGGCCCAGCCCCTGTGGCCTGGTGGTGCCTGCCACCCACTGCTACCCGGCTCCCCCCTCCCTCACCTGGTAGTGGTGATGTGGTTGGACCTGCCCATAGTCTGGAAATAATTATTTGTTCTCGTAAAGCCTCAGTTGCCGCTCCCCCCCCCCCGCCCCCCGGCACCTCTAAACATCCTGCTTCTGCTGAGGACGAACTGAAGGCATAGGTGCTGCCCCTCACTGTGCACCAGCATGGGCTCCTGGGGGACTCTGGGTCTCCCACCTTCACCTCTGGTGTCTTACACCTCTTGGTTTCCAGGAGGGGGTGCACTCTGGAGGGCTTGGAAGGAGGCAGAGAGCACACTACCACTAGAGATCCATCTTGAAAATACTGCATCTACTGAGCACCTACTCAACTACTGAGCCAGCCAGTAGCACATGGAAGGGCCTGCCAACCTGCTGGTGCTGTAAAGATAATGGCCAAGAAATGCCATGGGAGCTGTTCTACTTCGTGAGTTGGGTGATGCCCTCTGTGACAGCACAGTGCTAGGGGCGCATCTGTGAGCCAACACGATGCATAGCAAGTCCCTGTCCTCAGGGGGCTCACAGTCGGAGAGGGGCACTCCTTGCCCAATAACCACCAGGAGCCCAGGTGCAGAGGCCAGAGGAAGCACTCCTGGGGAAGACCAGCAGGGCGGCGTGCTGCAGCTGCAGGGAGGAGGTCTGGCCGACTGAATTAGCCCCCAGAAAAAAATGAGTGTGACCTTCTCTTAGCCTTTACTATTGTTACCCACAAACTCACCGCTATCGACTGGAGTCTGACTCATAGCAACTCTATAGGACAGAGTAGAACGGTCCCTGTGAATGTCCAAGACTGAAACGCTTTAAAAGAGTAGGCAGCCTCTGCTTTCTCCTGAAGCGGCTGATGGTTTTGAACTGCTGGCTTCTCGGTTGGCAGCCCAGTGCGCCACCACGATGCCACCAGGGCTCCTATCTTCATGTCGGGGATCATACTTTTAGGAATAATAATAATCCCATCTTAGTGGGTATGTGTTGGGCTGCTATCCTCATGGTCGGCAGTCCACTCGGGGGGAGAAAGACTGGCCTTTCTAATCCCACAAACAGTGACAGTCCTGGAAACCCACAGGGGTGGGGGGGAGGGAGGGCGAGGGCATGTCTCCATGAGTCATCAGTTTGTTTTGTCTTTCTTAATACCCCGTACACAGGAGCCCTGGTTTAAGCACCTGGCTGCTAACTGCAAGGTCAGCAGTTTGAGCCCACCAGTCACTGTGGAGGACAAAGAGGAGGCTGTCTGCTGTAGTGAAGACGAACCGCCTCAGAAACACCACGGGATAGTTCTGGCCTAGAGGGCTGCTATGTTGCACTCAGCTGGACGTCAGTGAGCCTGGGTTTTGTTGTTAACCACTTTTGGAAAGAGCCCAAGTGGCATGGTAGGCTACCTGGGCTCTAAGGTCAGCAGTTTGAGCCCACCATTGGCTCTGGGGACTAAAGATGAGGCCGTCTGCTCCTGTAACTATGTACAGCCTCAGAAACCCTCCCTCCCTGCCAGAGGGTCCGTCCGTATTGACCCTATAGGGCAGGGTTGAACTGCCCCTGTGGGTTTCTGAGATTGTAACTATGGGAGTAGAAAGTCTCATCTTTCTCTGGTGGAACAGTCGGTGGTTTTGAACCATCCACCTTGCAAGTCGGCAGCCCAGGTTAACCCACTGCACTACCAGAGTTCAGTTGGAAACCCTCAGGAGTTGGACTCTGTCCTGCAGGGTCACTGTGCATTGAGACAGACGCGGTGGCAATCGATGCACGTGGTGAGGTGTTTTAAAATGTGTCGAGGGGGGTGCGGGTGGCAGGGAGAGGTCAAGCACTTTCTGAGATGGTTTCGAACGCTCTGTCCCATTTCCTCTTGAAATCCCACGGGTCTCTTCCTTAAAGGAGGGAGCTGAGGTGGGGGTGGGGGTGGGGTAGATGGGATGGCTGCAGGTAGGGTGGGGGCCCAGAGGTGGAGAAGCAGAAACTCTGGCCTCCCCGAGCATGTCTGAGGACACTGAGCTTCCGGACCCAGCACCCCCTGCCTTCACCTTTATGGGAAGAGCATAGCCCTTCAGCCCTCAGCAGGCCCCCAGCCCCCTGGGCTCCCCATGGCCAGGCCGTCCGGCACCTCTGACTGTCCTTCACGGGGCCCAGGGGGCCCTCTGCTGTTGCTATCTGGGGGGCAGGGGCTGGGAGAGGAAGACATGCCTTTCCAGCAGCCAGTCTCCAGCAGCTGACAGCCAAGGTAGGCAAGGATGCATAATGTTAAATAGAGTTTATATTAAAGTGACAATGGATCTATGAGCCTACATTTATAGGTTTGGTATTAAGGTAGCAGAAGG